AGTATATTTGAAATTCAACCCTGTATAAATGACATGAATCACACTACACTTTATTGAGGCAAAATCGAGTACACAACACAACACCACACTACACTTCATTAACAAAATGAAAACACAACACTACACTATTAATGAAAGTAATTACACTACACTAATAAAACAAATCAAACACACTACACTACACTACACTATTAAAATGAAAACACTACACAACACTCAAAAATGAAATTCATTACACTACACTAATAAAACAAATCAAACACGCTACAAACTTGAAATTCACTACACAACATCATTAAAATGAAAACACTACACAACACTCAAAAATGAAATTCATTACACTACACTAATAAAACAAATCAAACACGCTACACACTTGAAATTCACTACACAACATCATTAAAATAAAAACACTACACAACACTCAAAAATGAAATTCATTACACTACACTAATAAAACACATCAAATACACTACAAACTTGAAATTCACTACACAACATCATTAAAATAAAAACACTACACAACACTCAAAAATGAAATTCATTACACTACACTACTCAAATAAGTCAATTTGACATTTACCACACCACACTATGAAAATAACTACACCTCACTACACTTTTGACCAAAAAAAAAAAAAGTTATCAATTTTCCGAAAATTGCAGGATAGTTGCTCCTCATATGCCTGACTCCATATATGTTCACGGTTTATCTGTAGCATCACTGGTACTTGAGTTATTGAGCGCGCAAAAAGCAAATCCCAAGTAAAATTTTTAGTTTTGCTCATAGCTTCAAATCCTGTTTATGAACTTTGAATTTTCAATGATTTTCTAAACTCTCCACATCATTGTGCATCTTTTCATACCCTACAAGTCTGGTTTATCTTAACTCGTTCTATGTGTAATAAAAAGTCGGTTGTTCATCGATATTTGATGCCTTAAGCGTTTGTGTGTTTTTACAAAGTTAGAGTAGCGATTTGAATTTGATAACAATGTAAAACATATTTGACACCTTTAGACCTTTTTCTGATTGTAGTTTCAAGGAATGGTTGTATAAAAAAAGATATTTAACTAAGTTGTTGTCCTATGATGCAAAAAAGACATATACCTGGGGCACCAGAGTATTCACACGTGGTCCGCCACCGCACTACTGACTCGGCCCTACAATGTTTGACTGCGCAGATCGGACGGGATGCGGTAAGTTCATTGTGGTATGGCCCCAGATAACAGTCTTTACTATTTATTGGATTGATAGATATCTTAAAATTCATTATTGCACACTTGGACTATATTATTACACATTTATTAAGAACGCCCTTATAATCATGTTAAGACTTTACCTATTTTACTGTACCCTCATATGGAAAGACTTGTATTTATTCAGACCCTTATATTTAGTCAAACCCTTATATTTAATCAAACCCTTATATTTGCCCAAATAATCATGA